ATTATCTGACACAGAACAATTAGGAACACTTGATATTAATGCGCCAACTGAAACCGCTTCCATCTATGTCCCGAGCACTATATTGTATCGCGGAAGAGAAACATTTTCGTTAGTTATAGTAAGTTAAAACTATGAAATGTATATTTGTTTGCGTCATTTAACTTTGTAACGTACATGTCTGTTTCTCCCCGGTGTGGTCACAGTTTTACGACACAACGTGTAGACACTGGTTAGCAAACGATGTGCTAACTGCATTAACCTGCACGTTTACCTGAGTTTTAAAGCACAAGGTGAGTCCGGAGCGCGCTGTTTGCTCTTCGTGACTCCGCTAGTGTAAGTAGGCCGAGCCCTGTGCGCAGGTAAAGCAACACCTGTGCCTCTAACTGACCTTCACATCAGCTCAGACTGGGCTCCTGGGAGGGCACCGACTGCGCATGACCGCGGGTTAACTTGGAGCCCAGGCACGAGCGGACAAGTACAAAGAGGCTGCTGCTGCTGGCGCAGAGGGGACGTACCGTGTGCGGCGGGCACAGACTGGAGCTTTGCACACTTTTGCGCAAAGTTAACGCTTTACCCAGCTTTTACCCTCCGAGACTCCGACCCCGAGCACAGAAAGGAGTCCGAGGAAAGGAGCTGCACCTCCAAAGGAGCCCGGGAAGCGTTAGCGTGGGGTAAGTTAAAGTCGCTTTTGCTAATACAAAGTGTGTTTTCAAGTGTTTCAGTTCTCCCAGGTGTCTCTGTGTGCGCGTGTAAGCGTGCACGAGCCGTCTGCTTAATTAATTACGTAAGTTGAGCGTGTCTTCGGTGCGTGTTGTCGACCAGGTGGTCCTGCAGCGAGCAGACGAGACAATCCCATGAAGCGCTGCTGGTTAAGCTGGATTATATTTAAAGTCAGCTGGTGTTTGGGAGTCCTTCAGGTAATCTGGCGCTGTTTTTTTTTCCACTTCCGTCTGCGCTGCGCAGGTGTTATGAGGCTGAACTTTGAGCTCCAAGAGCGGGGAACCGGAGGCGAGGGACGGCGGAGGTTTTCAGGGGGATTCGCCCCTCGAGACCAGTTTCATTAAACTCGTGATTAAATCCACAGTGAGCCGCCGTCGCTTGGATTCAGTGTAAGTCAGGTGTCACCACAGGCTCGCGGACACCTTTAGCTCAAGCGCGAGAACGCAGAAATGTCTTTCGTGGCACTGTTTCCACAGCCGCGTCCTCGTAGCGCAGTGCGTGATGAGCTCTTAACAAAAGAGTCTCAGTGGAGCTCTAAAGGTCTCATCAACCCCGAAATGCTGCTAAACTAGTGTTGGACGCGTTTCCTTCTTAGCTACCTGTTTTCATGCGGGGGGGGGGCTCAGACCTGGATGGTAGTCGCCATTGTGCTGGTGAAGAGCTGGGGTCAAACAGAGCTCCTCATCCTCACGGGCCTTTCCACTCTTCAGTACAGAGCACTGGGGCATTGATATGTGAAGAGGAAGAATGTGAGCGCTGTGAAGGTGTTTTTAATGAAATTTTAAGCTTCCACTGTGGTGCATGTTGCATATCTCAAGATCCATTTTTCTACACTTGGATAATAAGTGCAGATTTCATCCAGGAGGCCACACAAAGCATTCCTTCAGGGCCCCGAATGCCTCGCATTTTGTGGCTTTGCATGAAAGTATCTCACTTTCTGCAAAGTCGTCTCTCAAAGCTGCTGCTTTGCTGTTTGTAGCACTGATTAACAGCTTTAATGGGGTTTGAGGGTTAGCGAGTCATTCACTAACCTTAAGGTGGTTAAAGGGTCACCTCAG